CAATTTCAAGATGTTAAGCATTTTATTGAGGTCACTTTTACCAGCACATGAGACCTGGGGTAAGTAGTCTGTAAAGACATAGTCTACACGGAATAAAGGACAAGGACAGACCAGTGACAAAGCAGAAGGAAGAAGTACTCAGAGCTATTAAACAGAGTCCTCAGAAATGAGCACTGTGCCTCAATGGGTTAGACTGCAGATTATATCTCTCTTTCTGATGAAAGCTCTAATAAGTGATCACATAACAAGCACCAGCAAATATGCAGAATAGAGGCAGTATTCCTGATTGGCAATTCAACAAGTAGGAAACATAGCTCCTCAGATGCCATACTGAGAGTATTTATCAATGCCACCACTAAGGATATAAAAGAAATAATGAAGACAATTGTGGGGAAGAGGAGTTAAGGAATATCCTCTTAATATCCATATTAGAACAAACCAGGTGCAAACTATAAGCCAAAGACTCCAAGGCTAGTTTACAGATCCCCAAAGAGCTTAAGGTGGGTGCAAAACATGATCCACTTGGGAAGAAAAAAGTTCCAATGCATTATGGAAGAAATAACAAGAAAAAAGTAATTGAGGTTCCAAAAGAAGCAAACACTGTCTGTGGTGCCACAGAAGTCAATTAGAGAGTTTTCAGCTACAGTGATGGACCAATCTCCTGGGGCAGTAAAGAAAGAAAGGAATCTCATGGGGCAGAGAAAAAACCAAAAAAGCAAGAGAGAATGTTTTTCTTCCCCCTCACTTTCTGGCACCTTTACTTTTTATTTTTTCAACAGGGACAAAAGATGATATAAGAAAAAGCAACTAAAATGTTTTTTGAGATGCAATAGCAGAACACAAAATGCCTCCCAATGAGAAATATGATAAAGCCACTGAAACTTTTTATGCCACCACATTAGAAAAACAGCAGAAATGCAGTAACAGAGCAGGGAAGAATGACTTTCACCCCAAGAAATGCTGAACAGCAGGAGCTTTTCTGGAATATTTTAGTTGAGTGTACACATCCATGCCACACCATCACTTCTTACTTAAAAACAGCTGCAGAAGGCTCCTGCTGCGGCCGCTGCCGTTAGCTGGAGCTCTGATCTTCCTGTCTTCATACAAGTCATCAAGTCGCATTTCCTGCTGGAATTAAAGTGGCAGCCCCTAGGGACTATGCAGCTACCCAATTTATATCAGAGAGAATATGAAGTAAGCAACAGGATTTTTGCAAACTGCTTAATTTTTCTTTATTTTTTTTATCAACCTCAAATTCTAATAAGAGTTTTCTCCCTCCCTACTTTCCAGGTATTTGCATTTTGAAACAATTACAAGAAAACATAGACATTTTAAGACTTGTGCACAAAAGCTAGAGGCAGGAAAAACACATAGGCAATCTCCCTGGTATGAAGCCAAGCCATGCCTATAGCATAAAACAATGCCTATTGCATCTTTAGTAGCTGGATGGTACAGGTGGTATATGGATACTATGAACAGTATTTATAAAGCAACAAAAGCTGCAGATCATGACACAGAAGTAATTTGGCTTAGAGCAAAAAGAGGAGAGCAATGGGGAAACTCTCCTGGACAAGTGCTCAAACTACCCAGTGCCAGGCAAGGACAGCTACAGGGTCATTGCTAAAGATGCTAGAAGCCAGAAACACAGGCAACTGTCATTTTTGTTCTGTACTTCTACAGTACTTAACGAGGCAAGAAACAGGTCAATGAAGAGTGTTCCTAACAGCTACGATTATGTTATGATAAATAAGAGTTTGGAGAAGATCATATAGCATCCCATTAAATAGTCTCTGTAGTTAAACACAGATATCCATAACTCAAAGTCTTGTGTTACCAGACATTCAACACTCCTCAGCCACCAAGCAGAGTAAAAACCAGTCTCTTTTGTATGTGATTTTTTTAAAAAAAAAAAAAAAAGTCTGCCATAAAGAATCGCAAAACCAAGGCAAAGTTGCTCTACTTCAAAACCAAGGATCACAGAACCCTACGAAAGTATTAATCTCTTTTTTTCCCCCCAAAGAATAAAAAGCAAATCAAACTAGAGCATGTTAAATTGTGCATTAGAAGGGCTCTCAGCCACTTCCAAAATTACTTGAGAGCACATTATAATTAGCAAAGGTATGTGACAGTTTTATACCCCTCTATGATGCATGATTAAAGCCAGGCAGCCCAGCTCTGCCGCAAGTTCTGCACGCCGTCAAAACAGATGTGACAAGAACTACAAGCTGCTCCCAGACAGACTGTGAGAAGGCATAGGCAGATAACATTTTGGCCATCAAAGATGTAAGACACGATACAAAGCTAATTAAACCTCAAACCCCCTTGGAGAAGTAGGCAAACTATGTTGTATGTGAGGTTATATGAAGCATCCTGTGCTTGAGCCGCAGTGCTCCAGCCCAAGAACAAGGATGAGAACAAGCTCCTACCTTCCCCTCCGAGCTGCAACAGGGAGCAAAGTTTATAGCCTCAATATTTTTCGTTACAGCCTCGGCACAAGGATGTGGAGCACAAATGACTGGAGAGATCACTGAAGTAACACCACTGTGATGGTCTGTGAAACTGCTGATTTTTCCCACAGGAGACAGATACCTCCTATCTGTCTGCAACAGAAACCTATGGAGTCCTGGCCCACCCTGAAAATCTCAAGTTCTGCATCTCACATTTGCATGTCTTTGTCTGCTGAGCACTCAAAAAATCAATTAGAGGCTCAACTCCTTATCACTAACTGGGGAAAAATGAGGTACAGTGAGGAAGTTGTACATCAGTCAAGGTCTTTGCCTCTTGAGCTGGGGTTAGAGGGAACAAAGGTGTTGGAAATTGATGTGTAAGGAACAAGGAGAATTTCAGGCATTTGGATGAATATCCCACAGCTGTTTTGTAAGTGTGAAACGGTGTGGTAAGTTTGTTTCTGAGAAGTGTGTCCAAGCCATCACTTTTATTCTTCTGGATCTACACATTTTCATATTTAGACTACATCTTTATGCAGTCTATGTTTTTGTCCCTCATGACATCCTTCTGCACACAGCACCTTTCCCTCTGCTTCCAGATAGCCTCTCCCTCTCTGCAATGCTCCAGAGCTCATCTCACTAACATCCCAGTGGCTCCAGGCAGTTTCCCTGATGTATTCCTTCAGCCATTTCCACCACACTCCTTCTGTTGTGCTCTTTCCTCCATCTCCTCTGCAGACATTTCTCTCCTCATTACTTACCTACCTACTACCTTCTACCCCTGAGGCAGTCCCTTCTACAAGAGATGCTGCAGGAAGGGTGCAGCTGATTTCTCCTTCAGGCACCTCCCGTTTTCCCTAGCACAACTGTTTGGGTGAGGTGTAAGTTCTCACAACTTCACTATGTGGCTTCACACTCCTGTGTTTCCTAGGTAAAGGGACAGACACACAGAAACAGCTCCACAGGTATCTGACCAGGCTGCACAAAGCCTCAGTTGGGTTACTAGTTCCTCTTTCTCCAACAGCACTACCTCTTGAAGATTTTGCATCTTGAAGTTAGCCAAAGCTGTACTACACCAGCACAAACCTACATGCAATGCTAAATAACTACACATCGTTGAGCTGCCATGTGCCTCACAAAACTGTGCATGAGTGTATGTACCCTCCCCAGACAGACAGACAACTCTCCAATGCACAGCGACTCACCCATGACTCACCCCTGAATTTTGTCAGTTAAAACAGCAGGGGAAGGGGAGGCAATTATACAATGCAATTGCTAAGTGGAGTCTTAGATCTGGAGAGTTTTGGAGAACCTTATAGGGTGAAATTTATTAATTTTGTCAAAGACAAATCTTCCACTGCTCACAAGGGTGAGCTGGTTAAGGTGGGCAAAACACACCACTACTTTCTCATGGGTTTGGTACAAGGAAATAAACTAGCTGCATGTTTCTAAGCAGGATTATATTGCTCTGTGGCTGTTTTGACAAAGAAGGTATAAATGCCCTTGCAATCAATCTTCTCATCACATCAGTTTCATTCAGAGACAGTAAACACAGTGCAGCTGCCTGGTTCAGGTCCTGATACCCACTTATGCTGAATATCAACACAGCAATGCAAGAGAACTTAATTGACATATCTGTATATAAAAATAAACTACATAAATTTCATTGAACATAATCAGTTAACTAGAAATAGAGCTTTCAATGCAAGCACCTATGGCTCTGCCTGTGCACCAGCCTAAGCCTCTCCACAGCAGGGGGATCTTAGGGAGCAGGATTGCTTCCAAGCTACTGCATGTGTTGCCAAGCTGTCTTCCTCTCCACAATTACGGTTCGCTACTAACACGATTCACAGAAGAACAAATAAAACACACTGCAAGAAGCTTTTACTATCACTGGGAGCACATTTTGCTGTGTGAGGGGTGATCTTCTAAAGAGTGATGCTCTACAGATGTCTCAGTTTGGGAGGCTACTTTGGTGGACAGTATCAACACGTCTCTGGATGTCAAAACTCCAAGAGAAAATGTCAAATTACTTTCCAACATCCTGCAACTGAACTGTTTCCAATACTCCTCTATTTCTACTCTCGTTTCTAGGAAAATAATGACAGCTGTCCCTCTGTAAAGGAGTAGGATCTTCCATGCAAATGAGAGCAACAGAGTAGCAAGTTGTACGCTACACAACACATATAAATGCTGAAAGCATATGTGATGATTTAAAGACTTAGTATGATATCACTAATTTGACCAAACAGAGTGTGGAGAGTAACAGCAGATGTGAATGTTCACTGTATGTGCTAGTGCTACAGCAGAGCATCAAACACAGTGGCATGGCATCTGAACAAAGAAGTTTGCTTAACGGGTCTGTACAATTAAAAGCCTACAACTCAGCCCAAGAGAGCTGGAATTCCCTTCCACTCGGTGAAGCATCTGGCCTGATTGCTGGTGGCTGCTGATCACTGCCATGTCATCACTCTAAAGCCGTGAAACATCCCCGAGACTGTGTTAATTAGCTCCCCTTGCAAAGTGCTTAAGCCATAGAACAAGGTTACTCACGTGATGTCTCTGCGCTGATAGCAACCTTGAAGAAGGCAGGCGATCAGGTCGCTGATAAACTCCACATCATCCCTGTGAAGAGCAGCTTCCAGTTCCTAATAAGCAGAAAGGAGAGAAAAAAAAATCCAACCATCAAACTAATTCCTTAAAATTTACTGCTAGCTCACCAGGACCAAAAAGACCCAAGCAGCCAACAGAGAGTACATGCCAGGCAAGCCAACCTTCCCCGTCATTAAAAACACTGCTTCTACTACCTCTTCATGGGAAGACCTTGAAAGGCTTTTACTGAATGTCAGTCTCCAGCCAGGAGACTAATGCTTTTGTCTGGATGCAGAAAAATAGGGTTCAGTGAGGCTGAGATACTACAGCCTAATAAGAAAGCCATGACTTCTCTCATGTTCAGCTGATGGGCAGGAATCAAGTTGTGTTTTCCTGCTTTGCTTCCACTTGCTAAGGCTGGGAAGTTCATTTAAAAGATGTGCTCAGAAAGCATGGCCCTGAAAGCCACTTACACAGAGAAGTAGCAGACTCAGATGGATTGCCAGAAATGGCTGAAAGCTGGCAAGCAAATGCCTCCTAGAAAAGCAGGCATTCTGATTATTTAACTTATTTCTCTTTGGGGTACTTTTTTTTCCCCAGCTCCAGTAAGAGAGAAAGAAAGGATGGAGGGATGTCAGACCTCATGACCCAAAACTTCAGTCCTCGATGGAGAGTATTCATGGCTTATTTCAGCACAATGAAGTTCATGTAAAGATGTGATGCAGAAACCGAAACACAAAAAGGATAAACTTGTGAAATCCAGTTACTATGAATATTACACTTTGTGGGAAATATCTTTTTTTCAGCTAGCAATTTCAAGCTTTGTTTTCAAAATATTACTGGGTTAATTACTGTTTTATTTGTATGCCAGAAAATCATTCACAGCAAGAAAAATCCACTTTCTATGAGACTTATCATCAATAGCATACAGCACTTAACAAGATTTAATATGGATAAACAACATAGGCATAAGAAGCTATTCTTTTTGGGTTTCAGAGTAAATAATGGATTGAATACAAATTCCTACTTGAATGTTACTCAACAGACTGTTACACAAATGGCTAAGCTAATGGCTACAGAATAAAGGTTAATGGCCAGAGAATAAAGGATAAACGTTTTGGCACTTACCCAATAAAGAAGAGAAAGTGCTTTTTTATTAGACCGCAGTAACTGCAGTAATAAAGTTATTGATAACAGATTGCAGATTAAACGCTGCTTGTAGCTTTTTATTGGAAATATATTAATAGCATATTTTCATTATCAACACTGCTCTCATCTACCTCTTGTGCAACATCCAAAGTGCCTGACACCTGCCCTGGGAAGGATGTACTAAACACATCTATTATATATGGAAACTCAGGGCAAGGAAAGGGCAGTGGGCAGCCAAAGCCTGACATAGCATCCCTGCCACAGAGCTAGGGAAAGTCCCAGGAATCTCTCTTCTGGCCTCTAGATGACTACCCTGCTTAATGACAAGTTAATACAAACACTGCAGTTGCTGCTTGCCATCCCTTGGAGAGAGTGATGTTCTTGTTGCACAAATAGTAATCACACTATATAAATAGCAATTACTGAGTGAATTCACAGAGAATCATAGAATAACCCGAGCTGGAAGGGACCCACAAGGGTCATCGAGTCCAGCTCCTGGCTCTGGCCCTACTTACCACTTGGTAAGTGGTTGGTATTTCAGAGGTGTTGACTTACTTTATTTGTAAAACACTTTAGTGGACATCTGCCTTCTATAAATATACCTGGGGGAAGGGGGGGGGGGGGTGGAGGACCTAAAGTACATCATACACTAAAACATCCCAGGTGTATAGCCACATTACCACAGTAAATGTGCACCTTGTGAAAAATTACATGTTAGGCCCCAGAATAAAGGGCAGGGGGAAAGTCTCCAGGATGTTCCCCTCCCCATTGAGCCTCTCCCTCATCCACATACACTTGTGCATTAAAGCTGTCAGTCAGCGCTCTGCCTCTGCTAGGATGTGACAGCCTTTTGTATGGAGGAATATTTAAACTGCTTCCCATGAGCCCCTTCAGCTGCTGTTTGACTAACATTCTTTAGGCAGTGGCCACAACTGGCTCAGATAGCCCCTATCTGCAGCCATTGTATTCCAGGCCCGGGGGTGACCTTTACATTTTTGGAGTTGGCAGGTCACCCCCGGTGCGGGGGGACATTCCTGGGGCACTGGGCAAGGTGCAGTCTCCTGGGTGGGAACTAAACCACCTGGCTTGTGCTGCCTCCTCTTTCCCAGGAGGATGCTCCTTGTCCTTGTCCTCATGGCAGACACAGCACCAGTCTGGGGAGCCGACCTGGCACTGACACATCACACAGCCACTGGCTAACGGGGCACTGGGCATGCAGACCAGCTAGGGGCTGAGGGCAAGGTCCTAGCACCATGCTGGGTTAAGAGGCTCTGGGCACAAGGCAGGATTAACCAGCACACACAGAGCACAGGGCTGATGAAGGTCCATCGTTAGCTGTCGGTGCCTCTGTAGAAAGACACCGCAATCCCCAGTGCCATGGGTGCTGCCTGGAGCCCACCCTGGTCCTCTGGTCCTCACCAACACCCAGTGCCAGGGGATCAAGATAAAGCTACAGTCTAAGTATTACCATGATTATCTGACTTGGAACAAAGACACTGACTTTGTCCTGTAATGTTTCTGTCTACATTTGTTCTATTGCTGCTTGCGAAAGAAGGGTAAGAGCAGCGAGAGAAACTTTCGTTTCCCAGGGCTGGATCCACTGTCCTTGTTTAACTGAATGTCACAATTTTCTATCCAACTGGATTCTCCGGCTCTCTGTCCCAAAACACTGAAATCCTGGACTTTTCACACACACCTAGGGTGCTGTGGGAATGACGGGGACACCAGGAGGATGTGAGACAAGACTTACTATCTCAGGACCACTAACGAAGAGTTAGGATCCCCTGAGGTTTTTGCCTAATGCTTCAGCCCACATTTTGCAGGAGGAGGAATAAACCTCATTTTTCCAGCCCTCCCCTCCAACAAGGAACAGCCAGCAAAGCAGCATGGTGCTCAAGCAGCACATCTGAGCAGAGGCAGCTGAAGTGATGCCAGGGACTCCCAGGAGAAAGAGGCCACCAAATCCTCGTGGTCCTAAGGGCAATCCTGCCCCAGTCCCCCATCCCCACACTCCTCCAGCCTGGCCAGGGCGAGCTGCTGGGTTTCCTCCCCGCCACCATCCTCCCCACGCCTCCAATCCTTTTGTTTTTCCCCTTTTCTCTTTGAGCACTGAGCTGTGAGCACAGAAATCTGAACCTTGCCAAAACGCTTTGGGGACAGCACAGAAAGGAAACAGAAGAGGCAGCAAATCAGCAGAGGAAGGGGGGACACACACATCTCCTCCTCCTGTAGCTGGAGAGAGCAACAGACAGGAGAAAAGCAGGATTCTCCCCCTCTCCAGCTGGCGTCACACCTCATTAGGGAAAAGCCTGTTTAACGTCTTTCCCTCCCCCCAGACCCGTACTAAATCCCCCCTGAGTCAGGCAAGGACTGTCGGGAAGAGGCAGCCGCCGAGCAGGGTGGGAGCAGGGGTGAGCACCTCGCCCAGGAGGAGCACTGGCCCAAAGCAGGTTAGCCAGGGCAGGTGAGAGGGCACCAACCTGTCCCTCCCTGCACCCTGGGAAAGCAGCTGGCAGGGGTGGGCTGGGACAGAAGGACCCAGTCACACCAGGCAGGTATGGATAACCCCACTGGCTGAGAGTCTGAAACAAATGCTGCTCCCCTAGAGCTCCTGTGAGCATGTACTGAACCCCAACATCACCTGCATTTTGTGGCAAGTGCTACTTCGGTCGTGCCCCTGACAGCACACAAGTGCTGTGGCCTCAGGATGTGGGGTGACCCAAGCCCCATGCTCTCCAAAGTATACATCTTCTCAGCATCTGCCTAGATTGTTGAGAGGAAGGACAGTTGACTTTCTGGGTAAAAGTAATCTAATGAATCCAACCACAATAGCAGTGAGCAGCTCAGCGCAGAGGTGCCGGGGGGCTGCTCCATGCACTGGTGTTCTGAACTGTGGAAAGCAGCCAGGCAGCCTCCAGCTCTGAGCAAGCTGTGTGCTCAGAGGGTGGCCTCACAAAGTCTGGGGCCTGGTCTCAGAAGACAGGCTCCTCCAAAATTGCAAGAGCCCAGTGTGGGCAGGCTGTGTGCTGAGGTACAGGACCACAGTTTAAAGGCTTCCTCTGCGCCGCAGCTGAACCACCAACAACCGAATCTGATGGACATAACCAGTTTAAGCACAGCTAAGCCTTGTCCAAGTTAGCCATCATTTAAAGACCCCAATCCCTTCAGCTCTATTTCCATACGGCTGCTGTTATCAGCTTTCCATTGCAATGCTCCCAAGTGACTCAACAGGCTTTTGCAGAGGCTTTAGGAGATCACGGAGAGCTACCAGCGGGACGTGCTGAGCTAGCCCCAACCCATGCGCTGAAATTTCAACAGTCTCACTGAGTCAAGTCAGAATGCTTTTTTCCCCTCACAGATAATTAATGACAACAGGTAGCTGGGCAAAAGTTTGGCAAACTCATGCTAAAGAGTACTGGGATTGGGCAGGAAGATAGGAAGTCAACAGCAGGTCTGAGATGCTTCCAAGAAGAACCATTTATCCGTGGGGGTGTGAAGCCAGTGTGCATGCATGCTTCGTGTCTCTGGCTAGGTTCTCCTGCTGTCCACTCCACCAAAGAGACAGCTGTCACAGGAGGACTCAGAGACTTGGGGAGGAACCACTGCTCCTCCCAACACAGCCCAAAGAGGAAAGCGTAGTCAGCCTCCTTTTGGCCACAGAACACACCCAGCCAAGTCATGCAAAGCAGCAGCAAAGGCCATTGCAATGAACAGCAGTGTTGCACTGGAAATGGCCCTGGAGCAGAGGTGACAAGATCCAGCTACACTACAAGCCAGTTGCTTTGCCAATCCCCATAATTCAGTCTGTTGGTCCACCAGTGCCCTCAGCCCCTAGGACCTACTCAGCATGCCTGAGAAAACCAAACCCCCAGCCAGCAGCCAGCATACTGCCTGCAGCCCCGTGCCA